GCGTCCGACTTGTGGTCCGCGGTCGGAGAAACCGGCTCATGCGGACCGGTTGGATGTATATGCATGCTCTACGCAAAGGCCAACGGGGCCATGGTGCGGCACGGTAGAAGGGCATGGCGCCATGGCGGGCATCCTTGGTCGCATGTCCTGCATCGCCAGCGCGGCAACCTGAGCCTGCATCATGCACGTCCTCGCCACAATAGCAAGGCAGCACTTGTCCACGCCGTACACAAGAGCTAACAACATGTGATCACTTGATTGCTTTTCTTTTAAAGTTGGCTCACGCACCAGCAACCGAACCGGCTGGGATAAACACATGCAGCTAGTCAGCTACGTAGCATACAACAAACAAGCTGGCTGGACATGTCTTATTTTCCATTATTAGCATCTATTAAATTTTTGGTCACATACCATATGAGGGGCAAAGAGGTCTTTTCAGATGCCGCTTAACACCGTTAAAGCTTAAAATGGACGAAAGTGTTATAAAGGTCATAAAATTTAGACTCGATGTTATATAGGGAAGAAAATATTTTTCAGTGTCAAATAGGGAAAGAAAATTTAAGACAGTATTAAATAAGGAATTCTCTCATGCTTCAATGCCCGAAATAGGCCGCCCCGTTCGCACTGCTCGCTCGTGCGCTTCAGCGGAAGCACAGCAGACGGACGCACGCGAGCGTCAAACAGGGTTCGCCATTTGCCGCGGCGATCCGCGAATAGGGTTTTCCGCCGAACTCTCCCTCTTTTTGCCCTGCCTTCTTCCTCGTAGGCCGGCCGAGCAGGCCCAGACTTGGCCGAGCAAGCTGCTCGCTTTTCTTCCTACTCTGCGCGCACACGCACAGTAGGTGAACGCCATGGCTGCTCCCTTTTCTTCCCTTTGCCCCATCAATTCTAGTCACCATTTCATCTTGCCATAAACACGAAAATTATTCCCCATCCAACCACAAATCCATTCAGTCTGTTTATTCCATGCTTAGTCAACTTAACACCACACTAAAAACTGACGAATCTTAATGCCAACCATTGACATTCATCCCTTGATCTTCCTCTATAGATCACCGTTACCACATCCGCTCGCGTCACTACATGCGTCTGGACCTCCTCTATAAAAGACCCCTGGTCTCATCCTCAAATTCGTTCGAATCATCCATAATCATTCCCCTCGTCAATTCCTTTCACTTGACAAACCCCCCTCACCATATCCCACCTTCTAGACAACTTTTTCCAATCGTTTGTCAATATTGGTCGCGTGATCTCATCGTCGGCATCACCGTGGTGAGCCTCTTGTTCTTATCTTCTTTCTGAAAGACCTAGAAGTCCGCTCTTCAATCGACGTGATGCACG